GCCATCCACACCTCCCCGGGCCAGCCTGTTCCAGTGTCTGACCACCCTCACAGTGAAGAATTCCTTCCTAATATCTAATCTAAACCTACCCTCTTCAGTTTGAAACCATTTCCCCTTGTTCTGTCACTACCTGCCCTTGTAAAAAGTCCCTCCCCAACCTTCTTGTAGCCCCTTCAGGTACTGGAAGGCCGCTATAAGATCTCCCCGGAGCCTTCTCTTTTCCAGGCTGAACAGCCCCAACTCTCTCAGCCTGTCCTCATAGAAGAGGTGCTCCAGCCCTTGGATCATCCTTGTGGCCTCCTCTGGACTTGTTTTAGCAGGTCCATGTCTCTCTTGTGTTGGGGGCTCCAGAACTGTATGCAGTACTCCAGGTGGGGCCTCAGATGGGATTGCTGCTCAGCAGAGAGGGACCTGGGGTTGCTGATTGATAGCCATCTGAATGTGAGTCAGAAGTGTGCCCAGGTGGCCAAGAAGGCCAGTGGCATCCTGGCCTGGATCAGGAATAGTGTGACCAGTAGGACCAGGGAAGTGATCCTACCCCTGTACTCTGCACTGGTGATACTGCACCTTGAGTGCTGTGTTCAGTTTTGGGCCCTTCACTACAAGAAGGACGTGGAGGTGCTGGAGCATGTCCAGAGAAGGGCAACAAGGCTGGTGAAGGGTCTAGAGCACAAGTCTTATGAGGAACATCTGAGGGAACTGGGGTTGTTTAGCCTGGAGAAAAGGAGGCTGAGGGGAGACCTTATGGTCTACCTGAAAGGAGGGTGTAGCGAGGTGGGGGTCAGTCTGTTCAGCTAAGGAACAAATGATAGGATGAGAGGAAATGGCCTCAAGTTGTGCCAGGGGGAGTTTAGATTGGATATTAGGAAGAATTTCTTTACTGAAAGGGTTGTCAGGCATCGGAACAGGTTGTCCAGGGGGTATTTAAGAGTCATGTAGACATAGTGCTGAGGGACATGGTTTAGTCGGGGACTTGTCAGTGTGAGGTTAATGATTGGACTTGATGATCTTGAAGGCCTTTTCCCATCTAGGCAATTCTGTGATTCTGTCTCCAGGAGAAGTTTTGTATCATATGGTATGACTGTTCAGATAAAACAGTTGAAGTTGTGAGGTTACTGTTGGAATCTTGTGAAAGTCTGGAAATTCATGTTAAGATCCTTTTTCATGGGCCATTGGTGAAATCGATTGTCTTGCACTGAAGACCTTCAGCTGGCTATATATAGAGGAAGATGAGGAAGATGTTCCCTCTCCCCTCCCCATTGCAAGACTGGTCAGTTGTGTTGTAGATGGTTTGTGTCTTTGTTGACTCATCTGAGATTGGCCTTTGCAAGAATTTGATCAGTAATGTGGAAGAATAGTATGAATAGTTGCAAAAGAAGCTTTATTTGGCTATTGGTCAATTTGCTTTGCAAAAAATACTGAAGGCCAGAACAGATTTGAGCGTCTTTTTTATTAGGCTGTTTCATGCCTGTTTATCTTATTTTTTGCCTTGTGACTTGAAATTCTTTGGTTTCTTCTGGAATACTTAAGCATTGTGAAAAGTATTGTCACCAGTGACATAAATGAAATTAGGGCAGATGATCTAATTGGGCTTCCTGCTCTCCCTGTCTACCTATTGCTGTGTAATGGGCTGTTATTAGAAGAAATGATGCTAACCCTCTTCTTAACTGATTTCTTCAGAAAGTCACCGAACAACACATGACTTTTTTTAAAAATTTAGTTACAGATAAGCACCAGTTCAAACCCGAACACATGCTGTACAGATTCCGATACGATGATGGAACATACTACCCCAGAAATGAGATGCAGGATGTGATCTCTAAGGTACAGAATAGAATAGTTGCTATTATTAGGAATAACACACCAGAAATTGAGGTTCTGCTTGAAAAATAATGTGAAATATTATGCTAGGATAAAAAAAACATCCCCTCACACTGGCCTGTGGATATATTTATGTGAATCAAATTCAGTTTTCCATTTGTAAGGGAAGATTTTGGCTTGTTTTGACACATTTTAAATACAAAATCAAAGTTTGTTATTTTTTAGTTATTTTTGCTATTTAATGGTTTCATATGCAGGATGCATTGTCTGTGTTTCTGGGTGATTCTGAAGCTGATGTTTCAGTCTCTTGTATTTTTCAGTCTATTTTAATAGAACTCCTCCAAAGGTTTTAATTTTTGTTTTAAAATTTAATTTTTAATCTTTGAATCTTTTTGCATTATTTTGGTAAAGTTTATTGGTTAGTTGTAATTTCAGTCTGTAAGTAAAGTATCAATATATATATAATCAAATGCAGTGTTTTTTACTTTAATTACTCACTTTGTGTGTAGAACAGCAACCAGTGATTGGGAAAACCTTAATGGATGGAAACATTGTTTTTTTCTTTCAGATTTTGTGTGCTTTGCTTTCAAAGTACTATACCTTCAGAATTTTTTAATGCTACCTTATTCTTTTTTCATGTGTCACAGTGAAGCTTAGATTAGATTATAAATGTTTTCTTTCTCATAACTTATTAATCAATATTTTTATCTGGAAATATTAAGTTTTGGCACATGAAAATATACAGAAATTTGAACAGACTTTTTTTACTATCTGAATGAAGTGCATTTAGAACATATAGGCTTCCTTACTGCAGCCATTCCTCGTATGTTCTCTGTGGTGTGTACGTATGGGTAACTTACCTCCTCTTTCTCTTTAACAGGGTGTACGACTGTACTGTCGCCTTCACAGTCTGTTTACCCCAGTAATTAGGTGAGTCCAATTGGGAAATCCTTAGAGAGTCATTCCGAAGAAGTATATAATCTGAAGATACTGTGTTTGAATGTAGGAACCTAAGCCATCCTTTCAAGATTGGTCTCTTGGGAGTAATCAAACAAGACTGAGGGGCTATCAAGACAAAAAGCATAACTGACTCATTAAATGACTGCAAACTCCGTTCAATATGACCTTTTTTTACAGACTTTTAGAGCCCTCTAGATCCTAGTGGATATACTTATATGCTTACTGTAGGTATTAATACACTTCTTTACTAACACTCCATTACCTCATTTGGAGAGTTCCAGCTGCCCAAGTAAGATATGGTTGGCCTCCTCTGTTCTGTCTACACTGAAAGGTTTGACTTGCTTTTTAACTTCAGAGGCAACTTTTGAACCATTACAAAATGCTCAATTCATGCTTGCATGAACTTGTTTATAAAATACAAGGGTTTTTTGTTTGATTTTTTTTTTTTAACAGGGATAAAGATTATCACTTGAGAACCTATAAATCTGTGGTCATGGCTAACAAACTCATAGACTGGTTGATTGCACAGGCAAGTATACGTCTTTGGATTTATGTACGATTTGCATTTAAATTCTAATTTGAAAGGTAGTGATGTATTAAGCAGAATAACATGCAAACACTTTGTGCAAGGGTTATTGGAACAGCATGTGTAAGTGTAATCCTCTTAAATTAGTAAAGTAACAGAAATCAGCTGTCAGCAGCCATGCTGTTCGTCCCTTCTATGCTTATCTTCCTTATTTGCAATTCAACTTTAAATGTTTTAATGAGACTTAGCTTTGTGATTCAGCGTGTAACATTGTTCATGGCTTAAAATGAAATGGATAGGTTCTGAAAAACTCTAAATTACTACCTAGATGGGTAAAAGTCAGTACCAATTTGCTGTCATCAGTTCTGTTTTATTTTAAGCAAACTAGGAACAGGAACAGGGTATCCTGTTCACTCAGTAACAGGCACCAGTTTTATAAAATACAAGTTGAAGACTTCGACACTTTTTGAAGCTATTATGTTCAATTTTTATGAAGGATGCAGTGTTACTAAAATGTTTACATATTCATTTTTAACTATAAAGAGGTATACCATATAAAGGTCCCTTCCAACCCAAACTATTTTATTATTCTAGGATAAACATGTATATACTGTTTTATATGTAAGCTATAAATGTATATATAAAGGTGATGGTGGTAAATGTAGTCTACAGCCATTGCTAGCCCTGTGAGGTTATGCTGTTGTGCATAGAATCCATTTTGCTGCTATATTAAAATATATTTTACAAAAATGCTATGGTTTAACAGGGGGATTGCCGGACAAGGGAGGAAGCTATGATATTCGGTGTAGCTCTTTGTGATAATGGGTTTATGCACCATGGTAAGTAAATTCATTCTGTACAAGCTATGCTTACCTTTTTTTAATGCTATGAACACAGTTGGCAGAAAATGCAGGGGCTGGTAAAGATATTACAGAGGGGCTAGGAAGTTGTTTCATTGGATCGCTGGAGAGATCTGTGCTACAGTCTTCAAGAAAAAAAGAGCTATTGTATACTCTGTAAATCATTTTCAGTCAGTTTTATAGCCTATACCGAGGAACTCATCCTCTAAAGGATTTGGTGGGTGTAGTTTTATTAGCCACTTTAAAAGAAATTTTTTAAGTGGGAATATGTTTGTGCAGATGAGATGATAAAAATTTAGGAAATATGTAGGGAAGAATGGAGGCACTTTTGGGAGAATGAATGAAGGATGGAGGAGCATGACTTTCAAAAAGTGAAGTGGTAACAATAGGAGAAAGTGGACTGTAGAAAAATGAGAAAATCGGAAGGACAGCAGTGAACAAAGAACAAGGAGAGCAGAGATAACATGCAGTACCAAAAATGAGGTGAACAAGGTCACATTTAATACCATCAGAGGAAAGATTTCAGTGAAAGGGTTGAAGCAGTAGGTCATTTACTGAAATGAAAAGAGTAAGAAATGATTTTCTCATCAGCTTATTTAGAGAAGGAGGGAAAATTAACTTCCTCTCTGGCACTGTTCATTCTTTTTCCTTTGACTTTGAAACATACAAACTGCATCTGCCTGCTGTTCTAGTTGATTCCACATCCCCACTAAACCCATTTCTGATACTGAATTTGGCATGCTTCACCACCTGGAGAGTGCCAGAACTTGGTGGTGAGCATCTCCAGCAGCTGTCCAGCAGAACTTATCAAAGTAATGTTTTTAAGTCCTTTTCAGGAAAAAAAACCTTGTGCTTGGCATTTTCACTAAAACCATTTCAGGTTAATGTGTCTTCCTCAGCTTGGTGGAATCCAGATGTTGTAGCTGAAAATGGGCTTAGTGATACCTATCTGTAGTGAATCCAAATAAAAATTGTTGTTTATATTAAAAATTAAGATTTCGCTAGATTCACACACAAAAATAGTTTGCTAGCATTTGCATATATATGTGCATGTTCAGTATTTTATGGTTCATGAAAGACACGATATTCAAAAGTTCAAAAGAAATAGAGGATTAATATGTGTGGTTTTGTATCATCCAGTATTAGAAAAAAGTGAATTTAAAGATGAACCATTGCTGTTCCGTTTTTATGCGGACGAAGAAATGGAAGGTTCAAATATGAAGCACAGACTCATGAAACATGATCTGAAAGTGGTGGAAAACGTCATAGCCAAGTCATTACTGGTGAGTGAAACCCAGTAACTTTGTGCTTTGATGAGTAAAAAAATTGGATGTAATGATAATAAATTAGCACTGTGTATTGTTATTTAATGGGGATATAATTTAGCTCTTCTTAATACCTTTCTGAACAAAATTTTGAACAATTTTATTTTTCAGATTAAATCTAATGAAGGCACCTATGGTTTTGGTTTAGAAGATAAAAATAAGGTGCCAATTATTAAAGTGGTGGAGAAAGGATCAAATGCTGAGGTATCAAGTATTATAAATTATCTTCCCTGTTTTATTCACTTGATAGCAGGTGTATGCTTTGTACATCAGTTAGGAAAATCTATAGTAGTAGAAGGTAACAATGACAACTTTCCCAGAAAGCTGTGTTTTTTTCCTTTTTTTCTTTGGTTTTGTTTTTTTGTTTAAAATATTGCTCTGACTGTTATCAACACTCATTTTCTGCTCAGGTAAATTGTCATATTGAGCACTGATATAAAAGTTACAATTTTGTTTTTATACATTTTATAATATTCCAATCATGACATTAATCATGAGTGGAATAAACAGTTATGGTAGAACATGAAATGAGTAAAAAGCTAGTCTGTGAGTTGCACTTGTTGTTATTTCATAATAAAGGATGTATCAAGCTTTGGAGCTTATTACAGATATTAACTGATACTGCAATATTGTCATAAAATCTTGATTAAGACTAGGTCTTGTATTTAGGTGTCTTCAGAATGAGTGTTTACTGTACTTTTCATGTCAGTTTAACTAGTTCTAGAAGCATTTTGTGGTGTCTTTTATGTGTGTTATGTGAAGGAGGCATAAAGAAATGTGCATGTCATTGTTCCTATTGGGGTTGCATGCCAGCAGAAGAAGATGTAATGTTAGTGGTTATAAAAGGCAAACATATACATAACTGCTATTTGTTTTCTAGATGTCAGGCTTGGAAGTTGGGAAAAAAATCTTTGCCATTAATGGTGACCTGATTTTTCTGCGACCCTTCAGTGAAGTGGATTGCTTCCTGAAAGCATGTTTAAACAGCAGAAAGCCCCTGCGGGTTCTTGTGAGCACTAAACCACGGGAGTAAGTTGTCATTCCTTTGGGGGAATTTTTATAAACTACAACTGAAGTGAATTTTAAAAGACCAGGGAAACTTCAGACAACACTACTGTTATTTTAAATGCTGTATCTAATCTGACTTTGTATAGTCAAGCGATCTGATCTGCTTTGATTTTGTTTTATTACAGTTGTCAGTCAGCAAAAGCGAAACACAAGTGATTTAGATCATCAGCTCTGCCACTTTAAATACATGCAGGAACCACAAGTGTAAATGAAACTTCCTTGATTACAATTGCAGTTTTGATCACTTATCTCTCACTGTGTTTACTAAATAAGTTCCTCTGTGTGGGGACTAGTTGCTGGTTTGGCAGAAGTTAGTCTGTAATCCGATGGGCCCCTTCAGCCTGTGTGCTGGTTGTGTAAACAGCAGGAGCAAGCAAACATCTCCCCATTTTTATGAAACAGATGCATTTTTGTACGCAGTTTTGACCATTCCTACCTGAATGCAATTTTTGTTACATAAAAGAAATACAAAGTGAGGCCTAATGGCTGGGTTATGTAAAGTGAGTGTGTAAATGAGCATAGGTCTATTAGTAAAGTTAATGCTGTTGTTGCTAGTTTATACAGGAGTAAACTAGATGAAATTTTGTAGGGTGAGGAGGAACCATCCTCTGTTACCAGACCTGGAAATGGCTCTGGTTCAGCAGTAGAATGGAGACATATTTCTTCTGTAAATAAACAAAGGTGTCTTGAGAAATACAGTGGCACCCTGAAACGGGAAAATGGCATAATGATGATTATCTGGACTGATACTCCAAAAAACCCTCCAGGCAAACAAACAAAAACAACAACCAAAAAATTCCCCAAACCAGTAGGTGATAGTGTAGCAAGCATAAGAGCCGTATCTTGGCCTTTCTTTAATGTAGATCTTAGTTTAATTTCTGACACAATTTACCAGTGAAAGTGTGGGTGAATTTCAAGGCTGACTGAGATGATCTAGTGAATGAGAGTTCAGAGGAGTTGAAGAATTTGTTAATCAGCGCTGCCTGCTTTTTGTCAGGAGCTGCTGATAGCACAGCTGTTTTGGCAGAAGAGACGGTTCTCTCCTAAATTCGTAGCCTAAACTGCCAGTGATGGTTTTTCATAGCAGATTGGCATGTGTACAAAGCATTTTCAGAATGAAACCATATAGATTGTATCAACTTTAGTCAATATATAAGTATATCAAATGATGCTATACTTATGAAAATATTTCAAATGAAAATTTATTAATCTCAAGAATATTCTAATATTTAAAAAAAAATTATAGACTTCAGTAGGTTTTGGATCTCACCTCTGCTAATAATAATCTCTAAATGCTAAACATATGTATACCAGAAAAAAATGAAAGTGCAAGAAATGATGCAATGATATTATGCAGAACTACCTGCAAATCAAGTTTATTACAGTCCAAATGTATTTTAAAGTTGCTTTTCAGCATCAGTTTGAATTTGTCTGCTTTTGCACTAGCAAGTAGAGCTCAGGGCAAAGATCCCTTAAATAATAACGGATCTGGCTATGGAAGTAAAGGCTGCAAAGTTAAAGCAGTGCACTGTTATGCATGACCTAACTAGCTTTGATAAGGGCTAATGCAGCTTTTTCTGGAACCTTAGCTGATATCACGTGGATATACTAGCTTAATTTAGGTGAGCTCAGGGCTTCATTTTAAGGAGTAGATGTGAATTTTGATACTCAGAACTGTGTTTTTGTTGATTATGTTTGTCACTGTGTTTATTGCTGTTGCACTTAGACCAAGCAGAAGCATAGCACGATGTTCATACAAGTCACATGAACAATAGTATGATATTCTTACTTTACAAAACTCAGTACTTTGCATACTGCTCAGAAAAACTGCAACAAATATTTTTTCAATGAAACTCACCGAGCAGACACTTATATGTTAAGAAATTTTGATATGGATCTAGTCGCTGCAGTCTTCTGCAGCACATCTGGCAAGAACTGCCATGATCTGTGGTCCCCAGGCTCTTGTCCTCTTGGCTGAGAGACCGCCTGCCTTCCCAAGGCTTTCAGTGTTGCTGTGCTGTGGCAGCTTACCTAAGCCACAGTCCCTTTGGGAGGAAGTTTAAAGCTATGGTGGTGCTTTGGTCATAATTGGCATAATGAATTTCCCCGTGAAATAGTATTGCCTTCCTCTGTTTGGTTTTGGTATCTCAGCTTACTCTTATTTCTGATGTCACTGGTGCAAAGTATTTGGATTATGAATGATGCTGAACCTGAAACTGTGAATTGGGTGAAAGTGTGAAGTCTTAACACCCTTGTAACCTACTTTTTGCTGTTCACTTTTATCTTGAATAATAAAATATTCCCTTTTGCTACATTCATATTGAATCTTTGCTTGTATCAGGACAGTGAAGATTCCTGACTCTGCAGATGGACTTGGATTCCAAATCCGGGGCTTTGGTCCATCAGTTGTCCATGCTGTTGGGAGAGGTAAGCCATAAAAGCTGTAAATGGTAGTGTTAAATATGTATTTTATGTCTAAATGGCATGGCTGAGATAATAAAAATTAGGTCCAGTGATTCAGCTTAGATCCCCCTTCCCCCCCACCCCCAAGAAACAAACAATATTAAATAAAACCAAATAAGATTATTTTGTATTCTTATACTTTGTAAGCTTTGGATAGATTTTCTGGCTTTTTTTTTTTTTTTTTTCTTTTTTGTATGTGTTTATACAAATACAGGAAAGTTAAGGCCGGGCATTCTTTGCAGACTAAGGAATAGCTGATGGGTGCAAAATCACCTTTTTTGGTGAATAGGTGTTGGGAACCCCTTGCTTCCTGAGCCTTAATTTGTTAGGTGGCCATGTAGTTCTGCAATGTTCTGAAAACATTTTACAGAAAATGCACTTTTCAGAAATCTTTTCAAGGGTGCTAGTGACTTAGTCTGCCCTAGTAATTGCGGATGTTTCCTCTAAATACTGTTTTGTCCATTTTGTCATTTGGTTGTCAGGTGCTTGCCATCCCTAACTCAATATGTTCTTGACTGGAGCACTGGTGATGAAAGACATGGAAGCATTCTTTCTTGCTGTCACCTGTTGTTAATGGTAGAGCCAACTAACACTGTATTTTCCGCTGTTGTGGGGCAGTTGTGTACTTCCTCCCCCCTTTGTAATTCAGGAATTTAAAGTGAACTGGTCTGCGAAGCAGCCAGATTTGAACAGAACTCAATGACTTTATTTTCAAGGCTATGGTGCCAGAAATGAGATTTTCAAGAGAAAGTCTGATAAACTACAGACTGTCGAGCTGATGTGATAATTATTTCTGCACCTGTATCTCAGTTCAACTGCCTATATTAATTAAGCACATACTTTATTCCAATTAATTTATTCTCAACAGTATGTAAGTGCTTGCTTGTGTGGTTTGCTAAACCTGAAAGATTTTAAGCATATGCTTAAATACTTTGCTGAATTGGGACCTTGGGCTTTTGAAGAGAGATTTTTTTTTGAAAGAGAGACATTTAATAAGGCCTATTTACATTTTTATGTTTAAATATTTTTTTTCGGAGGGGGCATTGCAATAGCTGGTAATGATGTAATTTCTAAATACTTTCTTTGATATTAGATTTAAAATGCAGCTATCATCTAACCTGATAGTACCTAAAATGAGGGAACTACAGGTATATTCTTTTAAGTTATTTCATTGTCAAATATGCTCAGCTGACAAGTCATGACATAGCTTTTCTATTTGTCAACTGTGCAAATTCGGTGTAGCCTTTTCTTTCATAGCAGCTAGCTTCTGCACCTCAGCCTTGCAGTCTCTAGGCAATAGTTTTGACTTCCTTGTCACCTTTGTGGTAGTATCAAGAGAGACCTAGGGAGGCAAATGTTTAGGAAGCTGGAACCAAGGTCATACTCCAGGAGGCTGTCTTTCAGGAGTGGACTTGAGTCACACTGAAAAGACCTGGAGACAGCTGCTATTTTTGTAGTACCTATTCAGTGGGTAGAAGATTTTCCCGAGGTGACGATTCCATTGTGAAAATAAAACACCAAGCTGTATATTTTATGGTGCTCAATGAGAATGTTTTCTTTTGGGTATTTTTTCCCCCATAAAAAAATAATTAGAGATTTCCTACTTGATTGTCTTTGGGTATTTTGATTAAAACTATAAGGCACTCTATTAATAAACTGAGTTGGTAAGAAGATTAAAATAAGAACAAGATCCTTGGAAGTGTCTTTGGATTTGGATATTTGGATATTTTGCATGTTTAACAAGAAACTCTAGTATGCTCTGGTATTTCTTTATGAATTGTCATAAAGCTTTTGTGTTGTATGTAAAGTAGAGACATCCGGAGTAGTGAAGAAGCTCATAAGCTTGGGGCATATAAAAGAATTCAGAACAAAAGTGGTCTAAGCTATAATTAGTGAGTTTAAAGCTAAAACCTTTTTATCCTTTTAAAATCCTTTTCTTTAAGACAAATGTTCCACATTTTCATATTATTAATCAATATTTGTTTTGTAAAACAGCCTTTAGAAAATAGTCTGCTCTCTTTTTATGGAATGATCTGCTGGGGAACTCCATTTGCTTGGAGTCCAGATGACTGCAGAAGCACCCTGTGGTCAGGGGAAGTATGTAAGAATCAGTGAAAGCAAATTCTGATTTCAAAATGAGGCTTTTGGACTGTAAACTATAAAGGAGATGTTTAGGGAAAAAAGTCTGTTAACTATGTGGGGTTTCTTAACAGGAACGGTGGCAGCTGCAGCAGGTCTCCACCCTGGCCAATGCATCATCAAGGTGAATGGAATTAATGTCAGCAAAGAGACTCATGCAAGTGTTATTGCTCATGTCACAGCGTGCAGGAAGTACCGGCGGCCAATGCAGGTACATCTCACTTGATAATCTTGTAGATTTTCTTCTAATTTTTTTTTTTTCAAAGTAAACAATGTGGTATATATCTCTGTCTGTATATGTGTTGTGTTTCAGTGGGATGAGAGGAAAGGAGTAGTGAATAAGAGTGAAGGGAAAGACCCTCGCTAATATACTGAACATGACATTATATGATATGGAATATCCTATTGGCATATCCAGATACCAGTTTAGCTTATTAATTTAAATATTCCTCACCCCACCTAGATCTTGCACTTGTAGACTAATAAAACACAAAGTCCTTCAACTTCCAGCAACAAAAATGAAAACATTGGCATGTTGTCAACATTATTCTCATAACAAATCCCATGCTGAAACCAAAACACAGTGCCATTCTAGCTACTAAAAAGAAACTTAGCTCTGTCTCAGATAAAAACAAGGACAAGTATATTCTCATCATGATGGAAAGGGATTTACACAGCTGGCTGCCTGTTCAGCAGCAAGAGAATGAAATGCAAAAAGCTGATCTTCTTCCAGAATTTTGTAACACTTCAGCACATAGAGAGCAGAGTGCACATATTCCATCTATAAACTCTCTGTGTTCCCATTGCATTCCATTCGTGGGAATAAACATGCATTCAGGAATCAAAATTTCCCTTTTTTAATATAAACATGCAATTTTTGTTATCTTTTTCATGTTAGTTTAGGAGAAAATCTCAGACTTCCAAGACACAAATTTAAGGAAGAAAACTATAACCAGCGGGATTCTATAATGTAATTTTTCCAAGCCCCTGCAAGTTTCTCATAAACTGTGAGCGATATCATTAATTAACTTCCCAAACTCTTCCAGTGCATGTTAATTGAGAAGAAAAATCCAATTAAAGTAGTGCAATCCTTCTCTCTCACCTACTGCATAGATATGAGATAAGAATTATAAGTAGGAGTTAGATAGAACTGTGTAATGCAAATATGGAAAATGTTTGTCTGCATACTTGTGTTTAAACACAATACAGAATTGAATTTGTTACACAGCATGTCAAGATCAAACTCACCTTTTCTTTAAAGGAAGATGTGCTCTAGTAAAGAGAGGGTGCTTTGTGCAGTGGTAGCAAAACTGGCTAGAATAAAAGATAAATTAAATTCTTTATAGCAGGTATGTTCTCTCTGTGTATAACTGTAGAGTTCCTATAGAGATTAGTGACATCCAAAGAGGGTTGATTGGTATTGGGTGGCATGAATGCCTCGATATGCAAAATTATGCCTTTTTTAAATTGACCTGTGGAGTACATAACTGTTTTTCCTATACAGAGTATTTATTTCAGTCTTAAAAAGTAGCTGATCGTAATTCAGCAAATCACAGATAACTAAAATCCCTCAGAGTGACAAAAAAACTTCATTTAGGATGTAGTGCTATCAAATGCCATGGGAGACCTGTCTAGACTGAAATAAATGGCAGTATTCACACTGGTGTCAAGACAGCTAAAATTTCATTTCCTATTCAGAAATTTTGGTTTTTAATTATTTGGAAGATGACTGTGGATTTCTCCTATTTTGTAAGTACAGTGTGTTAGCCTATCATTTAATTAACATGCACAATGTATTCTCTCCTGTGGTTGGCAATTGCATACTTGAAAGGGGAACTTTTTCTGTTTACTGTATATTCCACTTCTCTGGATGAGGAGTCTTTCTGCTTGTCTGGAGCACATGAAGATTCATTTCAGATTCTTACAGTGCGAATAACCGTGTAACTTCTGTTGGATGGTGTTTATATTCTTTCTTGTCTGGATAAAGAAAACTGAAAGCAGATTTTACATCTTGGACTTAAAATTTCTTTGCAGTGATGCTAATCATGATGTGACAGATTTATGCTTAGTTTGTACCTCCATAATCCTTTTGGAGAACATTGCTCCAAATCATATTGCATTATATCTTGTGTTAATTTTTGAAAGAGGGACTTCCAGTGTAAGCAGTTAGACCTTTCATTAGGCCACACTAAGTTCAAATAATGAAGAAACTCTTAGACATAAAGTACATCTCTTAATGCTGCCAGGTAACCCTGTCAGACTCCATAAATAAACAGCAAGCTTTCAGGTGTACTTGCGAAGAAGCGCGAGTTTCAGAAGTGTTTCTATTGATCAGCTTCTGCACAGGTGTCCTCCAACAATCAACAGAGCACTCCAAAAGTTAAGCTTCCTTATTAAAATATTTCAGTGTCATTTAGTGGAAAGTAAGGCATGGACGAATCTTGGAAACCTAGAGAGAAATAGTACCTTAATCATACAAAAATGTAGTTATCTATGATTAATGGGATAAAGATAGCAGCTGAATATTGTGTATTAGCAAAGCATAATCGAATGTACTTGACATTTTGCATGAAAATTGTAACATTCAGATTAAACTTTTACTGTCCTTGCTTAACTTTGAATTCTTCCCTGAACTTCTTTATTAAGTCTGTGAATTCATATTAGTCATAATCATGTCATTTATTCTGCTGTTGGAGACAAAGTGATTAAATGACTGTCAAGCTTCTTTTGAAGTGTAAGGAGGAGAGTAGTCTGGACATTCCATGCTTGATAGGCTCTTCCACAGGGATGTGATGGGCATGTGGCTGTGAGGGGTGAGAAGAAGATGTAAGGCGTACTCGTGGCTTCTTCATAGCTTGTGGGACCAAGGCACTGTTCCTGTGCTCCTGTGTCACTCAGTCACATAAGATGCTGGACTTTTGGGGCCGGTGATTCTGTCCTTTTTGGAGGTTTTACTGATCTGAGCAAAAAATAAAGAACCTCTAGTAAAATAACTGTAGTAAAGGCAAATATAAGTAATGAGGGCTGTAGTGTATATTCTTCTTGACAGTAACACATGGGTGATAGATAAGCTGGACACACTATATATTTGGTTGGTATTCCATAATATTTGTCAGCAGATTTCTTGTCTTGAATACGTTTTAATCTGCAGTTTGATTTGAAATGTCTTAAATTATTTTTGGCAGAGAGATGAAACTGATGGATGTCATGCTGTCACAGATTTCGTACTGTCTTGTGACAGTATACTCTGAAATAAAAAAATAAGTGGACCAAATGCTTCAGATGGTTTTAGACAAAGCCAAAATTCTCTGTAATTTTCAAAATACTCTTTTTAACTTGAAGCTCAGAAGGCAATAAAGCTGATAACAATCAGGGAATTAAAGCAATTATTTAATGTTTGAGAGCAGTTAAAGAAGTTGCTATCAATTGCACTTGCAAAGCTTTTCCTAACTGTCTGGTTTTTTTCTTGTTTTTTAGCAAGATTCTATACAGTGGATTTACAACAGCATTGAAAGTGCCCAGGAAGATCTTCAGAAAACAAACACCAAGCCCTCTGGAGATGATGGAGGTGATGCCTTTGACTGCAAAGTGGAAGGTATGTGATGCTTGTTTTGATTTTGTTGTTGCTCAGAACATTGGTGTAGTAGCAAGGAAAATACAGGAACACTTTAGGGAAAATCTGTTCAATTTTCACTCATAGGATACATAATCCTAGGAATTACCTGATTTATTTTCACCACTAGTAATCATTTAAGGCTAGATTAGATACATTATTCACTACTGCATGAGAAATAACAAATCACTTGTCCTTCAGATTATTTTCAGGCAATTAACATTTAGATAAAGCTGCATTCGTATGCATCGTGATAATTAAAGAGACAGTTAACATATGAGCTATATTTATATTCTCTGGGTGAATTCTGTTATTGTGGTTTCACTTCTGAATGTTGGCACTTTTCATGGTCATTTCTTTCTAGTTTATTTAGAAGTTCTGTTTTCCCTTTTTTGTTGCTTTTTTATGTCGCTGGATTATAAATGAAATTGAATTAGTCTCCTTCAATAACTGTTTGTAAAGAGAGACCGCTGTGGCTTGTCTGTTCATCTCTTTAGCAATCTAGTACTTTAGCATCCATAAACCTACTGCTGTTCTGATTTTTAAATTCAGCTGGTACCTGTTTTTTTTATGAACGTTTTTAAATAGAATGAAGAGAGCATATGTGTTTCTAGTATGTTTATGTACATCCTTTTAGTTTCTTTAATGGCCAACACTCCTGAACTGTTTTTTGTTATTTTCTTTATTCTAGAGGTAATTGACAAATTTAACACTATGGCAATAATTGATGGGAAGAAAGATCATGTGAGTCTGACTGTTGATAATGTTCATCTGGAGTATGGAGTGGTTTATGAGTATGACAGCACAGCTGGAATAAAGTGCCACGTGTTAGAAAAAATGATTGAACCAAAGGGATTTTTCAGCTTGACTGCAAAGGTATGAAGTAATTTTTGTATGTATTAATTCTTACTATGCTTAATACCAATGGAGCAACACCTGTCTTTTGCTTATTGTTAGGATTATCCATATTTCATTTAATATCTTATAATTGGTCACCTTTATCGCTCTGACATTTTGGAGGATGATTGTGTACTCAGGAAGCAACCTAAGTTACAGCATGATTATAAATTGAGCCTCTAAACTGAAAAAATGTGAAAGAGCTTTAAAGTCTTCCATTCTTCCTGCCCCCCCTCCGCCCCCCC